GAGGATAGAAGATTAGTCTCTAAAGAAAGAGGAACCCAGGTAAACATGTTTGTACAGTGTTCTAAATACAAGGAAATTTGGTAATATTAACTGAGTTTATTGGCTGATGTTTTGAACATCAGTCCTATGCCAGAGCAAATAATGAAGGGCTAACACTGGAAATATCAGCTTATAAACTTCTTATGGTGGCTAATTTATGTTATCAACTGATTTGATAATACTAAATTACCCTGTTATACTCTGTCACTGATGCAGCACCACAGTTGCTTTAGAAACTTACCCCCTTGGTTCTCAATACAAGTCAGGTCAAGTTAAACACAGGTTATTGCTGGCAGCCAGTAGCAAGTTTTCAACAGAAATATTTGGGATAATTTCCTTAAAGTGACCAGTCTGAAAGTTACAGTGTACTTTACTAGAGACTGGTCCATTGTACTAAATTAAATTTATGTAGTTCCCTTTCCTGCTTCCTAGTGTAAATGATTTTTGGACACAGTTTACAGGGCGTGAAATTAATTTTTTTTTCTGATAGCCACTTGGCTCCTAAATTCTTCAAAGTGGTAGCCAAGTGAAAAAAAGTTGGTCGCCATTTTCAAAGACAAACAAAACCTTCTTTTAAGCCGTCAGCATTCTAGATAGACCCTCCAAAATTAAGCTTGGGAAAAGATCTTTAACGTGCTACAAAATGGACACTAGGATGGACGATATACAACGTTAAAGCTTACTTAATTCCAAGATGGCGTCTAATTATCGATTGAGATGCATCTGTTGTGTTTTGAAAACAAACTTAACGAGGAAGTTTGTGACGAATTTATCTTTGCAAATCTTTTTAATTCACTATATCTCTTGGTAAGGTTATGATGAAACATTCTAGTTGCCAATTTGGTGACTAATTTCCAGGATTTGGTCGCCAAAGTGAAAAAGTTAGTCGCCTTGGTGCCTGTATTAGGCGCAATTTCACGCCCTAGTTTATATGTAGCTACACATTTTTTCTAGGCTCTGTTGAATTTTATTTTGTTCTCTCATTTTTAGTTGGCCACAGAATATGGAATAAAATTCATGGAGACAAGTGCAAAAGCTAGTATCAATGTTGAAGAGGTATATCAATGTAATTGTATTTTATATACATTCTATTTATACATTCTAAAAACGTAATTGTCTGCTCTGCACACCACAGAGGACCTTTAAAAAGTTAAAGACTGTTTCCAAGTCCTCACAGTAACTATCTTAACCACCAAAAAGTTCTTACAGAAATCAACCACTCACAAAATTATAAAATTTCAAACTGTAAACTATCCATTTGAAAATTTTCTTCAATGCCCTTAACTTTCCACTTTTGATAAAGGTTTGACAATGAAAACGTTAGCTTTAGAAACTCTTTACAGTGGCCAATTTACATAATCAACTCTGTGGCAGATCAAATGTAATTATTTTGTAATCTCTAAGCAATCAAATTTAGAAGATGCTAGTTATTCTCTGAGCAGAATTTGTATTACAATCGTTGCTAACAATGATATTAACTGCTTTTATTTCTGTAGGCCTTTTTTACGCTTGCGAGAGATATAAAACTAAAAATGGACAAAAAACTTGTAAGTTTGTTTTACACAATCAGTAGAATTTAGGTGTCAGTGAATTACCTTGACCTTATAATTAGTTGTGTTTTTAATTTAATTTATTTCAAACTTTTATTTTGCACTGCAATGGCAACCATAAGTGTGATTGTTGTTATGTTTTGGTTTGTAGGAGCAAACAAGTCCACAAGCAACATCAACAATTAGCGTTACACAACAAAATAAACAATCCAAAGGAATCTTCCGTTGTACATTATTGTAGGATGTTGTAAAGTTCTGCAAGCAAGAATTTGCTCTATCATAGTTAATATGACAGTAACTGTGTCCAAAATATGTGTATTTGAAATGATGGGTCAGGTAAAAAAATGATGATACTGTGTGTGAGAAAGAGATCACATTATTTTCTTATAGTAGAAGTTTTATTAGGAATTTAACCAGCTTTGGTCTTGTTCTTGCTCAGTGCCACAACTGAACTGCTAAGTGCATATCAAAATTAATGTCTGCATTCTGAGGTATGGATTTTATGGGATGACCCTTGTGTCTCTCTTGAGATGTATCTTTCCACTTGCAGCACAACTTTTGTTCTGTGTTGTAAAACTTTTTGATATTAGTGGCAATATGTTACATTATGTATCTGGTATCAATCCTTACATTTAGTTGACCAGAGCAGGCCTTAAACACTGGAAAATAACTGCCAAATTTTTCTGTATGTCGACTCATGTTTTCAGTTCTGAATTGCGCATCTGAACTCCAGGATTTTAATGTACAAGGTTTTTACATAAGAAACAAGAGAGGCAAAAGGACCTGTTAGTTTTGAAACACATGGATAAAACACAAGGAAACTGCTCATGACTGTGTATGACAGCAGTTGTCTTTGAAACATTTTACAAATGGACATGAATTACATGTGGATGAAATTTCATCTTTTCTGGATTGTGCATTTTTATTATAATATCCATGGGTTTGATGACCGGTTTTACCTCTTTCACTCCCAAGAACTCATTATTGTCTGCCATAAAGCTCCTATAATGTTAATTTGGAGAATTTGGTATTGGATCAACTCAAAATCTCATTGATATTTTTCTTTATTCTCATTACTTGTCTGCTTGACATTGTATGGATATTGTAAGGAGAAGTTCAATCTTGATCACTCATGAGAGTTAAGGGTTAATGCTCAGTACAAAGTCGAAATGGAATTGTACCTTGGAAGTAAAAGAGGGTCAAAATAATCTGCTCAAAATTGAAAAAATGGAAAATATTGGAATATCAGGTTCTTGTAATGATTTTTAAGGACAATTTATTTCTATTCTTGTGCTACAAATATTAACAATAGTATACTGCAGCTTAAGGTTTCTTGATATGTTTTGGTTCAGCTTGTATAAGTTACCTCTTGGTGTCAGAATAGTAAAAATAAACCAAAGATACAAGCCAGCTTAAGATAATTTGTTACTTATTAATGGGTTGTCACTTAGAAAAAGACAATTAGATAGAGCTAACCAGTAATGCCTGTTTTTTGAATACCATACTGTGGTACTTGAGAAAGTGTTCTCTATTTTGTTTAAAAATATGTAAATGTTAAGGTTACAAGTTATTTGAGGAACTGGCATTGATTACATAGCCAATAGAGTTTACATGTATTGTTGAAAATAGTCTCTCTATTATCAATCAGTAACCACCCAAACACTAATGGCTTCTTTGCATCCCATCTTTTTTCTTGAACTTATGAAAGATGTGTTTTCCTCCTCACAGTAAGCAAAACATATCCTTGACCTGGTTGGTTTTTTAGTCAAAATGGTTTGTTGAAGTCAGCATATTAGGGGATAAGCTCATCTGACAGGTCTCTTGGACAGTTTGTACCAACAGCCATAATTTCTATTTAAACAAGTGAAGTTACTGGCTTTGGTAGTAGGTGCTTAATGTAGTAGGAAGTGTTAAAGTGATTTAAGCTGACACACCAGCTAGAGGTTGTGTGTATAAGTCTTGTGTTTGCTCTCTTGTGGTATGTTGTTTGCACTCTTGTCTAGCACCTACTACACAAGCTACACTTTTCTCCATTTTAAATAAGGTCAAAACTATGGGGCAAGTTAAAGGAAACACATTTAATCATGAGTTACATTTAGTATGTCATCATTTAGTTTGATAGTGGAGCTTATAAATGAGAATTAAGTGAAATTGAAATACATGCTTGTTAAGAAGCCTTTCTTTCCTCTCTTTTTTTCCTTAATTAATAATTTTGAAGTATTTAAACAAGTGTTTTGAAAGAACATCTTAGTTAGGATGTTGGTAGTTCAGGCTAAGAAGGGGTGTAAGAGCCTTGTCATCTTGTATTCAAAAGTGACCCTTGCAGCTGAATCTGGCATCTCACTCTCAAGAAAATCATGAAGAAGAGAACATCGGTACTTCTGGTTAAGGCTAAAAAAAAGTTAACTTATTTCAAATCCCTTTTTTTCTCAGGCATTGATGATGGTGTAACTGGGATTTCTTAGATTTACATTTATACTTTTTAACTGTCCATACTAATTTACATTTGTGAAGAAAGTAATGATTGCATTAGACTTCACTTCAGTACATCCACTCTTTAGCCATAGAATTTTCTTCAATACGATCTAATTTTACGATAACTAAATTGCTCTCCTTTATAGATATTAATTAGAGATCAAGAAACAGTTTGTTTATTTTCAAATGTAATTGTATCACTTATCAATGCCAAATTAAAGTTTGAAGATCAATAAACAAGAAACCAAAAACAGTATTAAGGTGTGACAACCAAATATCTCTTTCTGCACCAAAGGCAGGAAAAGATCATGGCGAATTGTCTTAGCATCACGTTATATTTAAGTTTCTTTTTTTAAATATTTTTTTGTCCCTCCTTTCATAATTCCTGAAAGATAAAAACAACAATACATTTATTGAAATTTAGATTGTGGTCCCCTGATTAAATGAAATATTTTGTTTTTGTTTTCACAGAGTGAGATTAGACCCTCTTTTTTTATTGGTCAGTTAGTGAAAATGACAAGGATGCTCTACAATCATGCCCCTCTTGCCCCCCGAAATAGCAAAGTCTGCCTATCATTTGACTGTTTTATAGAGTGTAACCCCTCTGAAGGATTTCTTATTTCTCTTTTTTAGTAACCAACAACGAAGAATGTATCGAGCTAAAGCATACCCCTGTAAAAGAACACCGGCTACACCTTTTTCCCTCTCTCTTCACCCCTTGAAAATTGATGGAGAGAAAAAAGCCCTAATAGGAGTTTTATAAAAACATTAAAGAGTATAATTGTTATTTTTTTGTCGTCTGGTTTCGGTTATTATGTTTCATTTTCATTTTTGATTACTTACGTAAATGATGAAATCCGTCAATCAGTTCCCTCCAAAAGGCTCCACCCCTCAGACTACAGTCGGGCACATGGGCCTGAGGTCACATGACCCGAGTTATTTTGAAAAGAGATCTAAGATGGCTGGTTGTTGGTACCAAGATGCGGGGAGGAATAACTCGCTCAGTACGCGGTATTCCTTCCGAAGGTTTGTGATGAACAAACTGTTTTAAAAGTAAATATTTAATCTAAGGCTTAGAGGGTTATTTTCGTCGCTTGTCTTGCCAACACAGAGTACAGGCGGATTATTTGGTTCGTAATTTCATTGATGTAAACGTGCCTTTGGATGTGTTCGTGAATACTTTCCTGCGAAAAAACTTCGAAGTTCAATTTGACAACTCTGAGTTAAACTTCTGCTTGGTGGTTTCTTAAGAAACGGCATTATCTCCTCCAACCGTGTTTAAGACAGGGAGAACTACTGTGTCCGAACTTTTTGCTGAAAATGCATTTCCATTTTTGAAAGGACTCAAACCCTGATATTCAACTGTACGTACGTGTGGTTGTGCCCGGCTCAGATCTCGACCAGTTTCTCTTTTTCAGAGAAAGGGATTTCATGATTGAGTGATTAAGCTCGAAGTTGTTGTTCCTTATTTCCAAAAGCATTACTATTGATGACGTGAAGATAAAGGCTCTGTTTAGCTTGTGGCGTTGACCTCCATGAGGACTCTTCTCCTCAAATATTCTGAAACTACTTCAGACAGAGCAATGAGTTACTCGTGATAGTTAGAACTTGTAATTATTCGGTTATTGCCTGTTTGTAAGCTCTCTTTTACGAATTCTTTTCGAAAGCTCGTGGCAATATTTTAATTTCGGTGAAGCGTCACTTCGTGTTATCGAAAAATTGATTACTTCTCAACAAACATCGACAGGGAGTTTGTAAACAGGCATTGAATTGTAAGCTTTATACTTATGATCGATCGTAATCATTAATTTAGCTTGTTGACTCTCTAACCCAGGAAATCTCGGAAGCAAATAAACACAAGATGATGGTACTGTACACTTCACTTTCGAAAACAGACCTTTCTGTAGTGGCCTTCCTCTCTTCAAACTCAGTGGAACTCGTTATTCATACCCAAGATTGATAGCTAAAGGCTATATTTGGTTAATTATCCTCAGGTAAGTCTCTATTAGCTGTTTAGAGTGCTAAATAGTTTTGATGTACTCAGCTCAAATCGAAATGACCACATACCAGAACAAAGAAATTTAAACATAATATTCATCCTAATGGCAGTTCGCCAGTTTTTGTTGTTTTTTTTTTGTTTTGTTTTGTTAATTTTTTTCACACCAAGGCTTTGTTCCTTCTTTTTCCTTTGCAAAATTCTCCACTAGAACATCTCTGTACAACTCTATATCACATGTAAAATGAAGGAGAAAGTATATAAACTCTGTAAATTAAACATTCCAGTAATATTACTCAATCACCTTGATAGTTTAGTGGTTACTAAATACCTCATCATTTTAGAGCTAGGAAATCAACTTATCCCAAAGTTCTGAGTATTATGGTGAACACGAGTTTTAAAAGTTGATCCTAATGGTGATCAGAAGTGCAGAGCTTTCATGTTTAAAACAGATTTTACAGCATTACAGTTTAAACTGAAATTTTCAAGGAAAAATTTTGTAAAATGCTAAAATACACTTGAGTTATCTTCAGAAATGTGTTTCAGATTGAATTCTTTAGTCTGCCAAAGTATGAATAGCCGATTATATCATGTCAATATAAGAAACTGCTAAAATGTTTTCACCACAAAACATCCTGGTTCTTGAGTTTCAGTTGCATGATCATCTCCTGATTTTAGTTGTGCAGGAAGATCTCTGTAGTTGGTTTGCATTTAAAACTAGACTGTGAATGAGGAAAGAGGAAAAGGAGAAGAGTCCTTGGATGAGAGCCATAGAGTAGCCCAAATTTTAGAGCAAGAAGACAAAACTGACCAGGAAAGGCCAAAAAAAAATGCTGCTAGAACAGATAAGGGCTTATGGTTTGAGCAACCTCTTCTCCTCACAGTTGGTCACAAACCATCAACAATTTCCTTGTAAAGTTCAAAATTACTAACAATCAGGATGGAACAAAGGTCTGTCTGGTGCTTATGCTAGATAGTGTACAAGGAAATTTGGTTTTGGGAAGAGTCTTCTGAGACTCTGCAGGATGCATCTGTGTTTCTATGGGTGGTTGCCATTTCTAGTGGTCAGAGGGTGGACATAGCTTGACATATTGTCACAAAAAGGCTTAAAATTTTTGCAAACATATGGAAACAAAAATTTACTATGTTTTATGCAAGTGTTTCCTCTTCGAACAAATCAAGAGGATACAGAAATTTGTTAGATTATCTTGAAATTTGCCCGAAGATTCCCACAGTACCAAACTAATAAACTGTGTTAAGGATTTCCTTTTTTGAAATTGATCTCCCACAATGGCCTCTGATGTTAAATGTTTTGGAATAATTCACATAACCAAACTTGACAGAAAAACTGTAAAGCAACCAATAGGAATACCAAAAAATCTCCACTCCGCTTTGAAGATGAATCTGTAAAGACTGAAATTGTGCAGAAGTTTTATTTGTCTGGTCAGAATTGATACTGGATTAATTCCCTTAAAGAAACATCTGTTTTGAATTTCCGTACTTCAGTCAATTTACAATTAAATTAAGCAAGAATGAAACGATTTTTGCTGGATAGAGAATTTCATAACCTTTCTATCGATTTATAGTCAGCTTCAAACAGAACATTTATAATTTTTTATTTTTTGCAAGGGAGGCATGCAAAGGTTTACCATATCCTTTGTTGCTACCAATAGTACAAATATTGTTAACCAGATGCGATATCAAAGTGTTGAAGTTAAAACATGGTTCTAGTTAAATTTGTAGAACTGTATCCCCATTTAGAAAAAAGGAAAATGATAAGAGCTCTGTAAAAAAGAAAATCAAATGTTTTCTATACTTTTTAAGCAAAAATCAAATCCAAAGGTGAACAGAAATTATTAGATGCCTGTCCTATCTGGCTGTTGAAATTTGTACAATATTGGGCTTTCTAGTCTGTTATCTCCTTGGTATTTAGGATTGCAGTTTGAGTAACTCCTGTGCTTTCTACAGTAACTTGGGATAGACTCTAACATTATGATCTTTGATCTTCATTGATCTTCATACTAAACCCATTTTGTTTTGGTTTTTGTCCTTAGGAAAACATATTTGGAGATTGGAGCTATCAAGGCCAAATTAATGTTTCTAAAGCATCTTTGTATCACTAGATTTTGTTATTTAGAGGAGCTGGTTTAAAGGATTTCAAAGATTTACATAATATTTTTTCATTGGCAAGCTGTGCATTTTTATCAAATTCTCAAGATGGCAACTGACACTTGGAAGGTAAGAATGAAAGGATGTTTTGGTTGTTGTGTTTACATCACTGTTCAGATAAACAATGTTTTGCACAATTGTTAGAAAACAATTTTTAGTTGACGTGGTAAGGTCAGATACAGTTTAAGATTAAGTAAAGGAATGTACATGCACACCCAGAACTGATGTGTTCTACTAGATGTAGGTTCATTCATAAGGTAATCATGCCCTCTCTATTGAAGAGGTTTGATTGCAGTTTGTCAAAATTATTTTGTGGCTTGTTTGCAGCTGTAAGAACTAGTCACATTTTGTTCTGTCAATTGTAACCCTTAATACCTCAGCATTAGGAGGCATATTCTTCATACTGTTTCCTATACATTTCTTAAGGTGCTTATCAGGAGAATTTGTTAAACAATCAATTTCTTTGGTTTGCGATCATTTCCTTTATTCTCATGATTGTGATAAGTGATTCAGCATTATTACTGTAGGGAGAAATTAGAGGCTGGTCACTTTTTGGGTTTGAAGGGTAAATAAGTTTTTTGTGGCTAAAAATACAACCCTTAAATACAAATGAAGTGTCAGTAGAAGGTGGCTGCCACTGTTAAGGTTGTGTATAGATATACTATGTTTTTTCAGTCAGTTTATTGCTTGTGTTGTCTTTAACGTTATGATAAGTTAATTTACTTGGAAATGTGTTGGCATTGCACTGCAAAATTACTTCGAATGGTATACAAACTCTTGAACTTATCACATTACCCTAGTACTCTATGTAATAAAATGTTTGTTTACTTTGAGCAAACACCCGTGACACCTTTGCTAGTTTCTGAGTAATAGAGGTGTTGGCTTTAAACAGGTTGTCCAAATTGAGCATTTCTAGACTGGGTTGGCTGAACATGGCATCTGTTTAATACAGTTAATGCAACTGTAGTGCTGTGAATGCAGTTGATGGTGATTTATTTTCTTTTAGGGTTCTGAACGCAGAGATCGAACCAGAACTACATCATATGACTACAATAATCGCGATTATTACATTGGCAATCACAACAAAGGAAGAACTTTTTCATACAGCAATTCCTTCTCTGGACATACTGCGTGAGTTTTACATGTGCTATTTTTTCAAGTGTTACATTTGCAGTAGTGGTATTTAAATTTACCTTGTATGTTGAAGAGAGATGGGTGCGGAAAAGAAAAAGGTGTGAGCCAGTGTTTGGAATCAAACTTCAGACCTTTGGATTCCACCATCCAATGCTCAAAAACTGTTCTGATACTTTTTCTGTTGTGGTTCTAGCACTCGAGAAACTGGTGTGGTTGAGAAACTTTTGGTAAGTAATGACTTGTTAGTCTTATTCCGTGGCTCAGTAATCTTAGATTTATTTTTTTGAAACTGTTGTCAACCTTTATTTGAATTTTAATCATTCTCAGTGGAGGGTAGTTTGTGCTTTACCTTATGCAGCAAGTACTTTCTTTAGCTAGCTCCCTTAAACTTTTAAGTTACATGTAGTATTCATCAAAGTGTCATTTTCGAAGGTTTCTAAGCAACTCTTAGAATCAACACCCTTGTTATTGAATGTAAGAATTATCCTTTTATATACTTTGATGGTACACCAGTCATTTGTTTTGTGTTTTTGCAGCACTCCTATGGCTTTATAAACTGCTGTGAAAGAGAGCTACGGATTTTCTTTCATTATAGCCAAATCAATGAGGACCCTCAGGACCTTTCTATTGGAGGTGCACTTTTTGCATATTTTTGTGGAGCAAAGCATCAAAACCAAAAACTCATGAAAGTGTTTCCATGACTGTGGGTGAAGAAAGAAAAATCAGCGCTAGGCTGAGGAGCAATCACATTGCAAGATTCATTTCTATGCTTTCTTGGAAAAAATGATGAGAGCCCTTTCTTGAATTTTTTTCCCCTTCTGAATTCACCCTGATTTTATCCACCAATATCAGTATTTCAGCTATCACTGTTAGTATTTTATTTATGCTTGTTTTGTGCAATCTGTCCACAGATGAAATGGAATTTGAAATTTCATCAGATCAGCGAACAGGAAAACCCATCGCATGTCGTGTGGTGAGACTTGAAGCTGGGTCTGTTTCCTTTGAGGTTTGTTACATGACCCCTAAGATTACTCAGTACAGTAAATGCAAAGTGCGAGAAAAACTTTGTTTTGGCCAGTGTAATCAAGACTCCCAAGAGTCTGGGAGGTAGTGGCCTTAAATACTATCCATCAGTCCTACAAGAAAGTCAGCAGCTATTTTTCTGTTGTAGGAGTTCATCCTCTTATTACTGGCATATTTTTTAGTTTGTTCCTATTTGGATCACATTACAGTCATATATTTGTCTCTTTAATTGGAACTGAACTTGTTTGTGAAATACACAAACTATCATTGACGTAAACCCAATTTGTTGACAAATTAATTTTATTTTTAGATTCGAAGTGAGGAAACAGTATGTGGAGTGATAGACGCTGAACCTAAATTATACTTGAAGAACAGTCCAAAATCTGTAAGTGCAGAGTAGTCATGCTTTTAAAAAGATTAGTTTTTTGCACAAGGATAACTTATCAAAATGGTAAACTTACATGTGCACATTTTATTCTTCTCTTATTCAGCCACAAAATGGGCTTGACCCTGATTCAGGACGGTTGAGCTATGAGCGGAATGGGGTAAGTAGACAAGAGATACCTTATTTTTCTGTTTTATGTGGTTGCTGTGGCATTGAATTGCAGTAACATCATTTTCTACTTTGTACAATAATCTTATGTTTGTAGTCTCAACCCTTTTTTCCCCTTTAGGAGGTCTTCTATCTCCAGTTTTCTTCCAATGACATTGTTAATTCAGGAACACCTCTCCACAAAGGAGACAAAGTTGAATTTTATGTAGCCACAGATAAAAGGTATGTAGTGAACTTGGAAATGGGAGTTGCCTTGTTGTTTGTCCAAACATGAGATATAGAAGCACCTGAAAAAGCACTCCCAAAAGCAGTGGACCAGGTGTTATTTGTGGCTGGTGAGCAGCTTCATATGGCCACCTTGAGTGTAGAAAGCCAGCACATTGCAAATATCAACATCTTAAGAGAGAAAAAAGCAGCCCCATTTTTTTTTACTGGACTTTGGTCAGCGCTTATCAAAACTAGTTGTTACTGTTGAATAAAAAAATAAATAGAAAACATGGGATTTAGCAGAGGAGATTCCATGAGGTTGCTCTTCTTGTTCACTGTCTCCCAGTTCAATTGGAACTTAGAATGTTGGTTTTTGGGAAGAGAGGAAAACCAGAGGACCTGGAGAAAAACCCTGGGAGTAACGAGGAGAACCAACAACATGCCAGATTCAGGAATCAAACCCAGGCCTTAGTAGTGAGAGGCAAGCCTTCTTACCACTGTGCCATCCCTGTTAGACCTATAATGTATACTAGCTCAACCTTTTTTTATTAAAACTGCTGGTGCTTTAGAAACTTAAAACAATTTTGGCTATTCAGAGATAAAAGAAGTCTAGTTGTGGTGAATTGTCATTCCACTTAACTGATTTACCATATCATTGCATGATGACTTGTTTTGTCTTGTAAAGAACTGGGGTTGTCCGTGCTCGTGAAGTCACCCTCCTTGAGGCAGCAGATACTGAGAAATGTCAGGTATGTTTTACATTGAAACCCGTGTGTACTCATGGTTGGGAAATTGCATTAAATGCAGTTAAATGCAATTTAATGGAGTCAACAACAAAGAGAATCAGCATTCTTTTGTAGTCAGCAGTTTTTGTAGTTGCGCTTGTGTCGGAATTCCATGTGCTCTTTGTTTGAGGCACTCTTGCATGTGCTTTGAGCTTGAATTTGCAGCGTTGTTTGGACTGACATTTCATCATCCAGGTAATTTCCCAACCCTTTCCCTCCCTCTTTCCACTGTTTATTCATCTGGGTTTTCAGGATTTGCCAGCCATGGGAGCAGTCTACATCTAGGAGCTGGATGCCAACAGTGCAAGCTCCTGGATGTCTCAGGCACCCAACCTCTCCATAGCAACTTAGTTGTTAAACATGGAATGGGCAGATGGTTGTATTTCAACTACAAAAGCTGCCTGGTATGTAACCAAAAAAAAATATTTTATTTAAGGACATAATATATTTCTGTATTTTTTTCCTTTGAAAGGGGGTTGTCTCTTCAATGAAGGAATCGTTTGGATTTATTGAAAGGGCAGACAAAGTTAGTGAGGTGAGATCAATAAAGCTCTTCATTTGATAAATGAGATGTTTGTAGAGTCTCTACATTGTATGTTCGGTTAATTTGTCTGTTTGATACAGTGTACAAATACACAAATTCTATTTTTTACTACTTAATTGTTGTTATTTTAATTACTAATCTTACTGTCAGAGCTATGAGAGGTTCTCATGGTCTGCTCTCTTCCCTTAAGCCAAGTTTATAATTTTTTGTTTTTTAGATTTTCTTCCACTACAGTGAATTCAATGGCAATATTAGTGAACTCATGTTAGGAGATGATGTGGAATTTGGAATACAAGCAAGAAATGTAAGCCAGATTCGTATATGTATTTGTTTTCTGTTTGCTTTTATGTATGAAATTTTGGTTTTAAACTCTACTGATAGCAAGGAATAATTGATCATTTTATATATCAAACATATATGTTCAAATAGGGCAAGGAAGTTGCAGTGCGTGTTGAAAAATTACCTGAAGGAACTGTGAAGTTTGAAGACATCAGCGATGAAAGATTTCAAGGAACTGTGGATCGGCCACTGAGTAAATCTGCTTCAAAGAGACAACATGATCCATTGCATGGAAAGATTGTGTACACTCCCCTTAACAATGATGATGTTGAGGAAGAGATTGTCTTCTCTGAAAGAGATTTGCATGGAGACTTCTCCCTTAGAGTTGGAGATGTAGTGGAATTTAATATTGCTGTTGGTAGGTTTTCTGAAAAAATTGTCTTAAGATGTCTTAGTAGTCAGACTAATAGATTTAGATTGGAACTGAACACATTTAAATTGTACTTAATTTTGAAGCAGTAGTAATAGAGAAGTGTTAGAGGAAGGAGCTATAACTTAGAGTCACATGTACTTTTTGTGTAGCAGTAAGAAGGTCACTGTCATTAGGACTCAGCCACTGCTTATCAATATGACAATATGGCATTGAAATACAAATTTGCTGATACTCTTCTAATGGTTCAAGGGTAAAGTGAATGAAATTAGCATTCTGTATTTGCATTTTAGGTGCAGACTTGCTTATCTCCGTTACTGTTCTCCATTTTTGTAGATCGCCGTGACTCTCTGAAAAGAGCTACAAATATCAGCCTAGTTGATGTAGCTGAACCTATTGATGGAGAGTCAAGGGAATTGGTAATGGCTATAAATTATCTTTCTTTTTGGATGTACCAGAATTAACCTTTTAATTCCTATGAGTGACCAAGATAAAATTTCTCCTTACAGTATCTCTGCAATATCCAGCACACTTGTGATGAGAATGAAAAAAAATATCAATCAGAGAATTATTAGTTGATTCAATGCTAAATTTCCAAACCAACATCATGAGAATTGTATGGCAAACAGTAAGGAGAATTTCTAATGAGATCTTGGAAGTGAAAGATTAAAAAGACTCCTACACGTACCTCTACATTGAAATGACATCTTACCTAAGAAGTCCCCCTCAGAGAGATCCATGTGAACATTGCACAGTGTAGTTAATTCTTGTTAACAGTTATTTTTTTTTGCATAGTCATTGAAACTTGATGGACACTTTTCTCTATCAGGGTATTGTAGCATCTTTGAAAGAAGGATTTGGTTTTATAAAGTGCTGTGATCGAGATGCAAGGATGTTTTTCCACTACAGTGCACTTCTTGACTCTGTATGTACCAAATGAATTACGAATTCTGAAAATTTATGAAATGCACCAACCATTTCTTCACATCTTTTGTTACACTTGTCATTTAATTCTTCCACTTTTGCTTTTGAAATTTGAAACAGAGGCTTGAGTACATATCATATTAATGAAAAATGTGTTAGAGTGTGTGAGAAGGAGATGAAATTAGAAACATACATGCATAGATATTTCTGTTTATTTATGAATTATTCCATTAAAACTTATAGAAGACTGTTATTGGTAGTTAATAATGTCCTATATTATAAAAGTGCTCTCATGTTTGATCAGCTCTGGGAGAAGTCTTTTTGATATGTTTTGTAAACAAGCATACATGTATTTGTATATTTGTAAGATTAACTAATGTACGTTTTAAGATACATTTAGGTTGTTCAAGATAAGTGTTTAGAGCTCACTGAATTATGTTTGTCCTTAAATTTAATAAGGCACATCAAATTCAAGTTGGAGATGAAGTAGAATTTGCAGTATCTGAGGTGAGCAAAGGATTACATAATTTTTTAATTGTACATTTTATCTTCAGTGGTGCAGGTAACCATCAGTCTTTCACAATAGTTGTTTAAGCCTACCCTAATAGGTAAATGAATAAAGGGGTAAGTTTCTAAAGAAACTGTGGTGCTGCGTCGGTGGGAGAGTATAGCAGGTAATTTAGTGTTAACAACTGGGTTGAAAACGTAAATTAGCCACTGTAAAGGGTAAAAAAAGCTGACGTTTCAAGCATTAGCCCTTCGTCAGAGCGATTACAATAACGATACCCTAATAGGTACATGTTTATTTGGTTAATAAGACAGAGCACGATTCATAACATGATGCCATACATGAACAAGTTCTCATTGTTGAGGCAATAGATAGCTCTACATTGGTGACAATTTTTCTAAGATGTTGCTTTTGTTTTAGGACACATCTTCCATTAAACGCCTACATGCAATAAAAGTCCGAGTTGTACCCAAAGGAACAATTATTCAGATGGAGGTTTGCAATAATAATTTCTTGCTGCCTGGATATCATTTTTCTCTCAGAAGTTTGTCATGGTGAGTTAACATGATGACAACAATTTAATTTTCTGTAGAAAGTTTCATCTCAAATGTATGAGGGATACATCGAAAGAGAACCCAGCTATGGCACGCGCAGCCCCAGAAAGGATAACAACAGGTGGGTGATGGAAATGTTGTGAAAAACTTCTTTTCTATTTTTAAATTTCAGACCTGAGTCTTTGAAGTGGACTGTGAGGGTCCAACATAAGGCTGAACTTACCATTATTAGTACACTTCTTTTATCTATTTAGTTAATGAATAGATTCCATGTTGGTGTGCATCTGTACAGTAATAATTGTAGATCACAGATGATGTCAAACTGGGGTCAAAAAACAAAAAGAGCTGCAGACAAGGCGTAGCTGAGTGTGTCACTGATGGTCTTACCACCTTTTGGGGTCTTCAGCAATATATTACTGTTGACACTCATAGTGACAAGGAATCTATTTGTTTTACATAATAACAAGATGAAACTTGTTGATGGTTATGTCATCTGTGTGTTTGTCCTCAACAGATCATAAATAAGGATCAATCAAAATGCATGTATAATTCTGTTTATTATACAATCATCTAAGTATGTTGGTTTTTTTTTATACAGAGAGAGTGAGTCTGGTCTGATCAACTGCTTCATTGATGGAGTCAAAGAGTTGTTGCCATTTGATTTTAATAACTTTGAGCTGAGAGGAGTTGCCCAGTATGGTGACCTGGTAATTAATATCATCTTTGTTGAAGTAGATTGATGTCTTTAATGAGGAATGGAATGTCTAGTGGGGAATGATTATATTCAACAATTATACATTCTGCATGTTCTAGGATGAGTTTCCTGTGACTTTGCCTTGTTTATTTTCAAAAAATGTACTCTGAAATTTAAAATAGTACAGAATTTAACATAAATCCTTTTCTCATTAAAGCCCTCTAATAGTCACCAATAATAAAACAAAATGCAACGCTTTGATGTAGTACTACATTTACCACAACTGCACATGCAACAGCTAGTTTATACTGAGCTTAACATTTTCTGCTTACAATCTGTAGGTGGAGTTCCATTTGTCAGAAAGTCAGAGAACTGGTTACAGAAGAGCAGTGAACGTAACAGTGTTGAAAAGAAACAGTGAACTGCGCCACATGGTATGGAATCTGAGCTCTTTGCTTTTCTGAAATGACGAGATTCTTTTATATTTTTCAGGAAGAGTTTTTAAAGAATAATTTTAAATGTAAAATAAATTTTGCAAACTAGGAAGTCCAAAAGTATAATTAGACAGTGTATTTGATTATTATTACTATTTTTGTTTGTATATTTGTTTTTGTTTGTGATGTTTGGAGAACCTTATGAATGGGAAATATACTTATAGTGCCTCCATTTTGTGCAATTCTTAAAGGTCTTTTTGAAGAGATACTTGTATGACTGCAGCACTATTGCATTTTAGCCGCTGATTATTATTAATTTTTTTTTTGGTGGACAGGGATTTGTTGCTACCCTCAAGGAGAATTTTGGGTTTTTGGAGACAACCGAACATGACAAGGAAGTGTTTTTCCACTACAGGTTTGTGCCTAAATTATTTTATCTACCGGTACGTGTACATAACTGTTGAACTTAATATACAGTTGCTGGCTATTCTGGAGTTGCACAACTATTTTCACTTGCTTTCTGATGTGAGAGTATTTTCTCCTTTGGTAGAGCTGTCGATTTAAGCATAATTAAAAGTGTATTTCTAGAACCAGTCGAGCCTTCCTTGGTTCATTCCTACATCTCTGTTGGAGCGGTAGAGGTGAAAATTTTCTATAGTGCAATACAAATCAAAACCTAGATTTCATCAAGTGCCTCTCTCTTTTTCCTGCCTACCGATAAATTGATTAAACGCTTGACTAAATATCCCTGATAGTGAATACGATGGTGATCCCAATGAGCTCATTCTTGGTGATGAGGTGGAATACAACATCAAATGTAAGAATGGTAAAGTCAGTGCAGAGATGGTAGTCAAACTAGCTCGAGGGACCATAACTCAGGAGCAAATTCTGCCAGAGGTGTATGTGGGCAAAGTTCTGAGGTCTTTAAGGCGTGCTGATCCACAGGTAAGGCTTTCAGACTGCAGTTGTTGTAAACTTAACTGTAATGTTTATTTTGTTTTTTGATTCTACAATTTACTTTAAAGATCTAAAAACCAATGCGTTTTTCTGCTTGGATATGTATATAGACCATTTCTTTAGTGTGGGAGTTATTCAAAGTTCACCTTTCGAGTAAACCTGAGGTTCGGTTTCGAAAAAACAGTGATTAATAAATTGATAAAACGTACATACTACTCATTCAGCCACTTTTCCTTTACCTCCTCATTTGTGGCCCTGTATTTTGTAGCAATTGGAGTATGCTGGTTTAATAGAGCGTATTACAAATGAGGACCAGGAGAGCGATTCTGAGAATGAGGTGGAGGAGGACTTGGATGATGGAGACTCCTTAGCTGTGGAGTATGGAATTACAAGTCTTGTGGACAAAAAGACTGTGCTTCAGTATGGAGATAAGGTATAGTGTTATCGGAACTGTAACTCAAGCTTCAAAACTCTCTTCTGGAAGTAACCTTGCCATTTGAGGATGTGAACCAGGCGGTTCTCTGCTGAATTAAAAGAGTATACTTCCCGTCGCAAATTAAATTATTAAACAGTATTTTCTTTTACTCCTTAGGTACGTTTTCAAGTCGGTGTCGATAAACAAACGGGAAGGGAGATTGCCATGAAAGTGGTTAGTGTACGACAACGAGTGCGGGCGCGAGTTGAGTCAGTCAAAGGCCAGGTAAATGTTTTTTTTTCCTTCTGAAGTCCATTTCCCCATGGGGACGCGGAATTTTTTTCGTTTGTCCCACGCTCGTGATTCATAGATTTGTTCGTGGTAAGAGTAGTGTTCAAGCGATGTATGCACTTGATTAATTTTCAGTTTGGATTCATTGCTTACGAAAATGAGGAAGGAAAGAACCTGTTCTTTCATGTGAGTGAAGTGGAGGGTGAAGTTGAACTACAGGTAAGTAGAAATCACTCACCTCGCATTATTCCTGCGAAAGGCTTTAGATAGGGGACGTCGCCTGTAACGACATCACTTAGAACTACTCAGAAGTCTCAACTCGTCGAGGCAACAGATTTGACTCAGTATTTCTCGTTTCTATCCTCCAGCCAGGAGACGAGGTGGAATTTGTTGTGGTGCAGAATCAGAAGAGCCGAAAGATGAGCGCATGTAGTGTGCGTAGGATCAGGTAAGTAGTTTATTCGACTCCTTTAAAATCTATTCGATGCAAGTAGTAGTCAATATTATCACCAGGTCGTCTAGAAAGCTGTATCATTGCTTATCCAACTTCGTCAGTCATTATTAACGTCTGAGACATTGTAATCACAAACCAGAATGAATTACCTGCTGATCTGAAATTTGTGTCATTTTCTTCCACAGTGATTCTCAGCGACCCGAACGACTCATACGCAGAACATTCACGGAGAGTGTTGAAAGCCCAGGGCCAAGGTAGGCTGTTAGGCCGAAAGGTTGCGAGTAGTTCAGTTCTTGTTTAATTCAAAATTTTTTGATAGGAACGAACTACTTATGCAACTAATCCCTTGATTGACTATACTGATCCAAATACTGAACCAAATACTGAGTTTTTACAGATTCGGTCGCACTGGATGTGTTTAGTCTATGAGAAGGATCTCTGTAGTAAAATCATGGAATTTTTTCCCCTTAGAATTGAAGTGATCCGTAAACCCAGCGGACCCGACGGTACACGAGGGTTCACGTACAAACGGACTCTGCGTTCCTTGTCAGATACAGCAACGGATCTCACCCAGGGAAACAGCAGGCGTACTGCAGGCTACAATGCGGCTAAAGAGGGGAGCGAGTTTGAAGATCTTGTCTCCAAGCTATGTGATTAGGATTGAGATTTTAGTGCGATGGGGAAATTATTTATGTATTATAGGAAATTGCAGGAGTAAAATAGTGGTATCCAACTTTAGATAGATAAATTAGTAGTAGATATTTGTCTTGTCGCTTTAGTTATAATCACGCTGTAGATTTCTCTATCTCATTTCTTTTTACCGTTTATATGACATTAACATTGTGGTGATCCTATGATGATTTTTATGTTCGTATCTCGATCATATCCGCACGTTCTCATTTTTGTTTTTTGGTTATATGTTTGATCATCGGTTCTTTTGAAAACAGAGGTATCAATGTTTTTTTTTTTCTCGCTGATAATGTGGCGCTCTAACTTCTGAGGATTTTTGGCATAACAACAGCGTATAGCTCTTGCCTTCTCACGGTGGGGTTCATGAAGGAGAACAGATTTTGTAATGGAACAGTTGAGGTATTACTGCAGCCTACACATCACGCAGGGCGAGATTATGCACCAGTTTTATTAACTTGCTGAGGTTTTGCGCACAAAGTGTGAAGTTATTACAATTTCGAAAACGGTAATTTAGTTAAATATGTAATTTAAATGAATGTACCACACTTATCAGTGAAACTAATAAAGATGCAACTCAAAATTTTTCAGTGTGTATATTGATTCCTTTTCATCTTTCCTTCATTTTGATTCAAGAGATGCCGTTTGAAGAAGAAGGAAGAGAGAATTTACAATTTTTAAATACTTTTTGAACCAATAGTTAAGCGAGAGGATCTTATCTACAGAGAGTAAGTTGCTTAACGAAAAATCTTGATTCTTCTGAATGTAAACGGCGTCACAAAATTGGTTTCCTTCGAACAAAAATTATGGGGACGGGAAAAAAATCAGGCTTTTTCCATTTGTCATTTTTGACCTTTAAAACGCTGGACAACCAAGAGGAGAAATGTAAATTATAATTGCAGCAGACTTGTTAACTGCAGTGCACGATTGCGCTGCTCCTCGTTAGGAGGGATGCTCGTATCGTATTTTATTGTAGAATTTTTTATATTAGTGGCAATTTACAGAGCGCTCAGCGAAACAAAGGTGACTTAAATTATTTGGCATTTATTGAAATGTTTTGAATGTCTTGCAGCAATGATAACCTGTAATATGAAACAGAAAAGAGTTTTTATGGGACAGACTGAATTATCTTGCCGTTTCAGGTCGATGCTAATGATACCTGGGTATGCTCATGAACTGAGAGCACGTCAATCAACACCAAACAGTGAAGAAAATGAAAGTGGGTACAAAAATATCAGAAAAAGTGAGAAAATTGAAAAAAAAAAAGTTATTGACTAATTTCGTGCATTTTTTTACGCAGTCTAAGGGTGGACAGTTTCTTTTATCCCTCCCCTTTGGTCAACCGATCCTAGTTGTCAGACGATCCGAGCTTTTTGCATTCAACTTTGCCCCACATTTTGCGACATTAACGAGTGCATCTAGAGCGTATCTGATGAAAGGAGGCTAAATTAGAAACATGTCCTTAAATTCAGTTTGTAAGGAGTATACTGTTTTTATACCAGCTTCATTTTAGGCCGGCACACTGGTATTTGACTTGAATGTACTTGGAAGACCACGTTGGACAAGGATTTCCGAACACATCATTTGAGGCATGAAGTTTGCACGTGTTTTTCCCGTCGCAAGCTTCCTTTATCTTAACCAAACAAAAATAAAATATGACAAGTCATTTAACTGTTCATCAGATGTTAAAAAAAAGAAACAGGAAAGGAATGAAAAGAGAGGAGGATTCTCCTAACTAGCCAGATCATGAACCCATCAGAAGACGCGGTGAAGACAACGGGGGCAAAGATCGCAATAACAACTATCACATTCACCAAAAATCACACCGTAATAAATAGGACAAAATGAGCCAGAAAAAATAATTAAAGAAGTCAACAACAAATTAGCAACAATTCTTACAATAACTGTAGAGCAACAGCTTGGATTCACTTATGGAATCAGTGAGGAATTGTAAATGTGTTTTAGCCAATTAATTGATATTAATTGACCGACTGCTCTTGCGTGTTAGACAATAAAAAATTACCTTAGCCTCAGATCCTTTAGCTTCACAGTTTGTGTCCAACCCAAATCCACATTTAAACGCCTTCTTCCTGCCGTAGTAAGCAAGTATTATCTTAATCTTCCTTCTTCCATAACATGTGATAGTTTCCCTTTCATTCTGGCAGATCGATCTCTCGTAAGTGTAAGAATCTAGTAACAACAAATAGATTTCATTGTGGGAAGGATTGCCCGCCACGGATGATTTTGAATGGCGTAAAAACCGTTAACTTTACCGTTAGCTTGTGCTGAGAACATGCCTGTTACATCAAGAAAGTAAGGTGATACTTTGCCTAACTCTCTTTATACCTGCCGTGTGGTATGGTGCTGATATTTTAGGAGAGAATTATTTACACGCTGTAATGTGGTTTTATCAACTGAGTTGATAATACTAAATCACCCTGTTATACTCTTCCTTCGACGCAGCCCCACAGTTTATTTAAAAACTTACCCCCTCTATTTATTTGATTTATACTCTGTTCACTCCTAGATGTGACATTGAGAGATTTAGGACCATTTGGTGATGACGACATACAGCGTTGAAATGATGCGCGTCAAAGGTTGAAAACTCCTTTGCGTCGTAAGACGATGTAAAAATGCAGAAAGTATTCGTCACCATAACTAACAAACGATTGCTAAACATTGCATAAAAACAGTTCGAAGCTCTGCCTACTCGCGGGACAGTTGTAATGCAAATTGACTTGCTGAATGTCAATTTCACTGAGCTTCTCCCAATGTCCAAACTGCCTTGTTAGCAACTCGACTTTTCCCGCGCTTTGGGCAGTTTGTTTGGGGTTACTTTGGGTTCTCATTGATTCCTAAGGTGGCCCAGTTCGAACGTTGAACTTCACATGAAAAGAACAAAAACGATGGAATTAAGTTAATGGTAAGCTCTACGTTTGAGTAAAATATATAAATTTTCCGGTTATACGGTTGTTTCCCCACTCAAACTTATGCGTTGTATCTTTTGCTTTTTAATGAGCGACCAACTTTGATATGACAAAGTAACAAACATCACACGTAAATACGCTTCAAGCACATGTTAGCGCTGAAATTCCCCTGTCATCACGTGACTAAAAGTAACGTCATGTACCACGGGCACAACTTACAACGCATTTTAATCGATATTCCCCTCAAATACATTTCACAACATTAATATTCAAAGTTAATAGACAGTCATTCAGTCAAGCCGATCTATTCCCATGATGAATGCATACTTAAAGATACGACACAGTTGAGTTCGTTCCACTGAATTTGGATCGCTAACACGCCCTGTCCGTCTGCTTTGGACGGATAGAACGTTTGAAGATCGACCGTTAGACAAACGCCGATCTTCTCACGAATTGACCGTATTGAATAAATTATAAATTGCTTTGTTTGAAATCCCGCCGACCGAAAGATTCGTTTTTGCTGCTCTGAATTTTGTGTTCCAAATTTGAGCCAACGGCCGAACGTTACCCGTCTGGGTTGACTAAATTTGCAGTTTAGTTCGTCTCATTGGCCAACGTAAGGAGTTTCTAAAGCTGAAGTTTCGAGCGTTAGTCCCTGGTCGAACAGGTCGCGGAGTAGGCAGATAGCACAACTTAGTATTCGTAGGAATGTTTTACAAGTACAAAGATAAAGGAAGAACTTTCTCGAAAAGAATGGAAACTTGTTAGTCCTTCAACCATTAGAAGTGATCAATATGTTCCTTCTCGGCGGAAATTCGATACATTATCTACCAATCAGGTGTATGAGAATTGACACATTGCTTTGATGTCATTGAGACTTTTCTTTACCACCTTACAAGGAAATGTATATCACCTCATTGAGACCCTCATACAAGTACACGGCTCAAGTTTTACCCTTATCAAGAATTTTATAACTTCCATATTAATAGAGAAAGATGTTTTTCGTCTTGTCACGAGCGTGGGACAAAGAAAAAATTCTGAGTCCCCATGAGGAATCGTACCTCAGACCTTCGGATTTCGCGCTCCGATGCTTTACCACTGAGCCACAGAGACTCTATGGTGAGCGAGGTCTATCACGAAGTTCATTTGACACGTGTCCTGCATACTGCTAAGATCAGCAATGTCGATAACGTCATGTTTGTAATTAGAATAAGCCATACCATCTCTCTTATCCTTTTTTTTACACATTAATGTTTTCCATTCTATGGGGCTTTGACTGCATGAGGGTTAGTTGTATTTTAAAATTTTTTGATTCTGTTAATAACTAGGTTTAATAATGATAACTGTACTGATTTTTTAAAATTTTTATTTCCGGTAATTTAAAAAGAAACCTAAACATTTCCCTTTTATGTTTGAAGCTTAATGATATTTTTTCCCCTCCTATTTTTAGCGCTGTATTATTCAAAGAAAATCGTTTGCATCTGATTTAAAAGTAAATTTCCTTTCATGTCGAGATAAGGAACCAGCCCTCTCTGAATTCTTCCAAATGAATCTTCGGCACCATGGTACTCCAGGCGTCATTTCTGAAATGGTTAAATTGTACTTTTTTTAATTTGAAATTATTTCCACTGAAATCCAACCGACGGAGTTCTTGTTGCGCCATCCTCTCAGTTTTTCAGTTTTTTGCAGCAATGCTTCATTCCAAGACTCCCACGCCACCTTAGTAGTTGTTTGTGCTGGCTTCATCAGCAGAGATGCAGAGGTCCTCCTGCTTAAACTGTTGATTCCTGAAACAACATTTTGTAGACAAATATATTCTAACCATTACTTTACAAGACAGGCGAGAAAAGGGAAAGTTGAGAACTGCAAATTAAAGGTGCGTTATTACACCAGTAAAGTAGTAATGTAATTATGAGTCTACTAGTACAATAAACGTTGGAATTTGAAATTTAAAAAAAAAAGAGTACGCATAATAGCTCAGGTATTGGAAAAGAAATTGCGAGCGAAAAAACTAGAAGCCCATTCCTGAACCGGATAATTCAGTGGAATTCCATAAAAGAGTTTTATTCTTTAGAATAACCGAACAAAAAAGAGCAAAGAGGGAAAATAGAAACAATCCCATGGAACAAATGCGAGCAGGACTGTGCAATATGGACTCGTGATTTTAGTCCACAAGACACCATCAAACATCACACCCTTACTTCCTTTTCATGAAATCAAATTGGTTTGTTTTTACCGTTGACGGCCTCCGTGTCATTCTTGTAGATTGACGTTCCTGCGCGTAGCCGCTGAAGGGAACCATCTAAAAAATATTTATAATAAAAACAAAAACTCCTGGGTCGTAAACAAAGGAAATAACGAGTGCACTTTCTTTTAGTTCTAAGATTGTTTGTGGTTTATCATTCGCAAATAATTCTAAAAACAATAACAACAACAAAAACATATTTCAAACCGGAGTCTCTCTTGCGAGAGCTGGTTTTTCATCCGTAGCAGAAGTTAATGGTTTCCCAGCCGGAGACATTTCGGTCAACCTTTGATCTAGTCTTCCCAGCAAACGGATAATATTTTGTAACCTGTAGGGAAAGATAAAATCAGTTTATCGCACTCATTAAGATTCCTGCAAGTTATGTTATCTTAAACTTCCAAACAAACTTTTTTCAACCAGAAAGATTTGAATCGATGGGTTTTGTTGGTGAGTCAGTCTGAAGTTTTCTTTATTGCAGTCAAGAGTCACTCAAATATTCTTTATCAATATCCTTGTGGTAAAGAAATTGAAAGCCATCACAAAAGTGGTAAGAATACCATTTTTATGTCGGTTCGAAGGTTTAACAAGTACGTTTGCAATCTCCTTTCGTTTCTCATTTCCTTTTTCTTCGCCCTGTTATTTGCAACTCCACATTGACGACACAGCCTGGGCAAAACCAGGAAATGAGAACTTCACAGGGATCTAATCGTGTAAACTCCCTGAGACGCGGTGAGGGGCGAGCGGCCAGTTGGCGATAAGTTTAAACTTTGTATCTGATTGTTTGACTGTGGCGCAGATTTCCCGGACCATTCATGCAATCTTAAAAAACTTTCAAAACTAGAAAATGCAATTTAAAGAAATATATGATTTCCAGTCAGAAAAAAATTAACAGTGGAGGAAAACTAACTTGTCTTCTTGTTGATCAACTTTCTCCCCTAGTTTAGTGACTTTGTCACTGATCAGAACCAGAGCAGGATTGACATAAGTCTGTTGATTAGCTGTGTGCCTCTTGGGCGAACCAAATTCTACTAACTGTGCACGAAAACAAACAAGAACATTTTTAAGTATTATATAGTAAATTGCTTAAAATTCACCGAGAGCTATTTTTTCCCATATAAATTTTTTTCTGTTAGTCATGCTTAAGAGCTAAGTGTAAAATTGGTGACACGTGTTATGACTATGAGAGAGACATGCTGGCCATGACCCAGTTATTGACAAATTATGTTTCATATATAGGGGTTCGGAGCCATAGCTGGTTTACTGGGTCTTGCCCTTGTGCGAAAAAAAACTTGTGATCAAGGACGGGGGATGGAAGGAACCTGTTATGGACCACCCCATGTTGGTTGTAATGAAAAAATCGGAATAAACTCTCTTAGTGACGAGCTGCTAGGTTCGAAAAACGAGCCTTTTAAAGGTGGAGGGACTTGTCGCCCGCATTTTGGCCAGAGTACTTCTTTAACGTACCCAAAAGTTTAAATGTTTCCCTAACATTGGGTTGTATATCTATTTCAAAGAAAACCCACCTTTTGTCTCCACGTACGCCTTTTGTTCGGGTATTCTACACAATAAGGGACCCAGATCTTTCTAAGAACTTTCCTGGGTGTGGCTCTTTCTAATTCTAGAAGCAATTCGACCTTGAAGGAATGAACAGCCAAATTATAGCTAAAGTAAAATATTGATATAGTTCTGTTTTGTTGCCGTTTATATTGTAAGGTGCAACGATAGAATTAAGTGATGAATTTTATATTTTCCATTTATCTCCTTCGGACTCCTTCTCAACTGTTGGAATAAAGAAAAACTTCGATCTTTTTTAAACCTTAAGTTTAACATGAATCTATCTTCAATTACCAGTTCCCGTCTTCGAGTTGCATTGCTAAAGCTTCAGCTGAAGTGTGTGCTACCGAATAAAGTATACAAATTGAAATCTTTTCAACCGCAAAAAGCGTATATCATCATGATTCTAAATGTCAACAATTAAAACTTTTGTTTATATATATGATATAAATATACGATGCAGTAGGTGGGAATCTGATCTAAAAACATCACAATATCAGACCAACCTGCATTCCATGTTGTTCCATTTTTGCAGATTGGAGAATCCTGTTAACGTCACCGACCGATAGACCGATCTAGGAGATAAGGGGACACTTCCGATCTAGAATAACTCAAAAATAGATGCTGTTCATTTTCTTTTATTGGTTTACCTATCAGAAATTTTGCATTGCATCGTGCATCGCTTCTGTGCATGATCGTCTGGAAAGCTATACTGAGAGAGAGTGCTATTGTGGAAGATTGATCATTGCAAGGAACTCTGAAGACAAGTGTGAGACTGTGTCTGTGGCGAACTAATGTATAGTTTGTAACGGGCTCAAGTGAGTTTATTACGGCTAATTATTGTACTGCCTTTTGGAGTCGCTCCTCAGTAATAATATTTCACGTTTTATTAATAATTTATTAAAAGTAGTCGAGTGTAGGAGTAATGTGTTCTTTCTGTGGATTAAATTATACCATAACGTACAGTTTCAGTCGTTTCTCTTGCACCGCATTACACCAACATGTAAAATAACAGGAATGCAAACGAAAACAAACACGGCGACAACTTGTTCTTGTTGTAAAGTACCGTTTTCCTATCCATGGTTATCAACTGTGCCAAATTACAAGAATTATTTGGATATCTTATCCTCTTCGATGGAATTACCTTGAAATTATTATGCACTTAGTATTTGTTAACTTACCAAGAGATTCTTGATAATGATTGGCATACAGACACAGAAGATGATGTAGACGACATAACTTATCCATGGATATGGTAACGGTTGATACTTGAACACGGTGTGCGGGTATTTCATTTCACCAAGAATCAACATGAAAGTTGTGAACAGTGAATATGGAAGGCGATCAAACAAGTACATTGTTGCTTCATTTGATTTATCCTGAAAATTAATGTTATATTAGATATCATGGCGACATGAATGGACAGAGAGTCAAATTAATCTGATTTTATTTACACAAAATCACTGAAAATTGAAAGAATTCCCGTTGGTAAAGATGACGAGGACAAAGAAATAGAAGGAAAAAGAAAATGCAAGTCAGCTACAATGAGTGGCGAAAGTCTTAGCACGCTCTACTTCTTTTGAGTTTGCTCTAATACTTTCATCCATATCTCCTGCTCTTCCTCAATGTTGCCTGGTGTTACAAAATGATCACAAATTTCAGGAAACAATGACTGTTAAGGAGGGCGGGGGAGGGAGGGGGGGGGAAGGGCGGAGACGGGTTAACTTGTAAATAACCCATTAAAGATAAATGACAAGATTTGGGCTTATTATGTTGCATGGAGGATTGTCGAACACCTTGTGCAAACTACTTTGCTGCTCATTGTAGATCACTACGGAAAAGTAGATGTATAACGCCTGTGGAACACAAAAAAGGATAGAAACACAGAGAGGTAAGAGGACCGCCCCTTTGTTTTATTTCATTGATTTACTAGACTCACCTTAAATCTTTCCCGTAAGAGTAGAAAAAAAGGAATGCCAAAGGCAATTACAAAGGGAATGAACAAGATAATGATCTAGGGAGAAAAGAAGAAGTAAATTTGAGTGACCTGAAAAATATAATGCTTTCAGGAGGCATCGTCCAAAATACAAAACAATCAAAAGTTCCTACCTTTACTAATGTTTTGATAATATTTGTCATCATTATAATATAAATACCAAACGTAGAGAATCTGAAAGAAGAATAAACCCAAGAAAATAAATTACAGAGACAACAAAACTTTGTGGAGCAACTTTCTTCATCAGAAATATACAAATTTTAGAGATTAAATTAGGTGAGATTTTTTTAAGGTTAAGACTATAACTTCATACCGTCTACATATTCCAGCAAGTTAAGATTAGAAGTAGGTAAACTTCTAGGCGGAAGAACATTTTGAACGAAAAAAAAAATGTTAATTTATTTAAAGTTCTTTTAGTAAATGGGGGCTTAAACATTATTTACGCAAATTTTACACTTTTTTCTATTTGCTTTCATTATCAAAACAGGACAACTTGACTTCATGTTTCTGAGTAAGACAAGTATTTACCTTCTTAAATAAAGGACAAATATAACCCAAGCGATAAAAATTGCAGTTGCAGCGACCGCCTTCAAGCTGTACGAATACTGATCTTTTTCACTGTTGGGATCAGTGTCCAATTTTCCACTGTACTGAAACATGTAGACAAGACTTGTCATGTACAAAAACCACTCCATCCAGTTATCTATCTTCAACAAGTACTTGAATTTCTGAAGGAGACAGAAATTATTCCCATAGTTCTATTATTGTTTTAAGGACATACTGATAAAAAAAAAACATTTTTTTTCAGGTAAAATTTACAGCTACTATTTTCCTTGACAAGGAAAATGATTAAAGAAAACTTATAGCTGATAAACATGAATAACAGTTTGGAAAATAGCATTCTATTCTATACAGCTGTGATTATTTCCAATACTTTTTAAACTCTATCATTTCCCCCTCGATTAATCTCGTACCCAGACCTTCCATAGCCAA